TATTTAGACGTCCTATTTTGCAAATGCTGCCTTTTTGAAATTTTGTATGCTTGTTTGTCTTTGTGTCTATGGTGTAATAATGATGTGATTGTGATGCTGTAATTCTGAGTGTTTTATGTGCTGCAGAACAGGAACCTGCTGTAAAACAGCAATTATGCTGAGTAAGGCTTGATTTTTTTTTAAATCTTTTCCTGTTAAATAAATAAATCAAATCAAAATTACTTTACTCTTCTATAGTTTCACAGAAGCTCCATGAGATCAACTTTTTCTTAAGGCTGTTCTTTTTTTCCAGCTCCGAACTGTGATCTATTTCTAGTGTCAGCTGTCAAAATAATGTAACAGGAAGTGACAGACTGACATGCAGTTTTAAAACAAACCCTTTTAACTTCAAAGAWTCTTTAGGAAACTAGGCATGGACAGTCTTATTTAATTTTGGCTAAGGTATTAACTTATTCAACGACATTATCATTATCAACTGAAAACTGTATTTTGATTATTAAAACTATCATCACATCATCCCAATTACAATTTTTTAAAATAACATTCAAATTTTTAATTGGTCAGAAGTATTTTCTTTGCATGGCCTCAGCATTGCTTGCCTTGTTGTGTTTATTAAAACCAAGTTATGCGGAAATATCAAGTATCAAACACAACATACATTATTACGCCTCAAAGTTCACATTTTGCTATTTTTTTAGGGAAATTGTTGTGCGGCTATTACAAAGAACAACAGTTTACCTAGCATACATTATACAAGCTTCTTTAATATTTGAATACAATAATCAGCCTAATTTTAAATAATTAAAAAAGATTTGTGTTGTCCAAAAAAAACTACTATAAAAAGGGAAATATCTTCACTTATCTCACCTTATATTATGTCATAGCTTTTTATTCCTTAAAGGGGACAAACATACAGTTATTTGGTAGCTTTTCTTCTTGACGTGTTGGATTTAAATCATCTTTATTGTTTTTTAAAGATAAAAACTGGGCAGGAAAGATGAAAACATTTTCTCTCCTGTCTCTGGAAGAAAAGAGTCCATGCTGTGGAAAAAAAAATGAACTAAAGTTCAGTTATTTCAACTCAATCATCGATCAAACTGATAAACTTTCACTTGATCCCATGTTCACGAAGCTGAGATTTCTGCAGGACTTAACACAAGTATACATGATATCCCTCAGAGTGCCAGTGTCTTTGACAAAGTCTGACAAATAATGTAAATTTTATTCCAGAAACGTTTGTTTTACTTTACTTGTCTGTTCCACACCAGTGTCCGAAGCAACAAACAAGCTGAAAATATGATGAGTAGGCAACATCTCTGTTTATTTGAGTGTCTTGTGTTCCAAACTTTAATTAAATGAGCACGCTTCTAGTTGGTCAAGAGAGTAGTTCCACTGCCTCRAAAACTTCAGATGAGAAGTTTAGGCTGAAGAAAAAATTGCTTTCCAAAGCCTCGAAGCTGTCTTCTAAGTGAACACTGTCAGGGTTGATGATGCCGCTCTCTGTGGTCGGGCTGATGACAATGATGCGTGGGACAGTCTGAGGCGACTTGGGGTCAGTGTGTGGTGCTTTTCCTAAATTCAGGGAATCAAAGGAGTTGCTCTTGTGACTGTTCAGTCTGTCTCTGATTTTGCTTTTCCTGTCTTGTGCGTCTGAAATGTCACTGGTTAGACTCTCGCTGCGCCTCCGGGTGATAACAAGCAATGGCAGAGAGGCAATTGTCATGGAGTTGGAAACCAACTCATGGTCATGGCTGTCCAACGGGTCATTCATGGCAGATGGATGCTGGTAACGTAAGCACACACACATGGACACGTCATTTCGAAAAATATATATGCATGATCAAAAATAATAATAATAAATAGCTCCTCTGGATGGGTTCTTCTTTAGTGAAACATTTCATCTCTCCTCCAAGAGACTTCTTCAGTCTGACGAGTTTCAGGTGAACTCAGCCTTATAAGCACTGCCTCCACATGGTGGACAAACAGGTTAGTCAGATGCAAAAGAGGTCCATCGCCTAACAATAGGTTTGATTAGCTCTATTGTTCACCAGAGGATCATGTGCCCCATCACCTGACTTATTGGTTTGGATGCTTCGGCCGTGGTTATTTTGTGTTTTGTCATGTGTATGTGGTGAGTGCAAGCGGGGGWTCAACGTCCCCTTGTTTTTGTCCCTCTTTTCCTCTTTGTGTTGATTATCGTTGGGGCCCTGATTCACACCTTTTGCTCACAGTGGGTTGAGTCATACTTGCAATAACAGCATTGTAGGAGGAGGACAACTAGACACGAAGGCCTCCACCTCTGTTTAATGGTGGATGTTTTTTCTTCACAAAGACGGCTTCCTTTACTCCTCTCTCCAACCAACGTTCCTCTCTATCAAGGATGAGAACATCTTYATCCCTGAAAGGCTGATCGCTGGCCTGTAGATGAGTGTAAACTGCAGAGTCCTGACCCGACGAAGTAGCTYGTCTGTGCTGGCTCATTCTTTTGAACAGTGGCTGTTTGTTTCCCTAACTGATCACAGTCTTCCTGACACTTAGCATATACTACAGTAAATTACTCTGTTTTTGCCAGGGAACTGGATCTTTGGGGTGCACTAATGTTTGTCGTAACATGTTTTGGGGTTTGAAAGCCACTGGGACGTCATGTTTGTCCATCATGTGGAGGCAGTGCTTATAAGGCTGAGTTCACCTGAAACTCGTCAGACTGAAGAAGTCTCTTGGATGAGAGGCGAAATGTTTCACTAAAGAAGAACCCATCCAGAGGACCTACTTTTTTTTTTTCTTTTTGATTTTTTTCTACCTGGATTGCTGAGATGCATCAGGATAAATGCATGATCTTTGACTTTTCTTATTCAACACCAATAAGTTGCATTTTCTCACCTTCTCTGGTGGGTGAGTTTTGATTGCCTTCTGCTCAATCTGCCTTTTGCAGGACCCTCCTCTGTAAGACTGGCGGTAAGATGGTATGCTTTTGAAAGAATATCCCGTTTTTCCACCCAAATGTTCCAGCTCCACATCTTTCAATACCTGCAATAGAGAAATGAATATTATAAATGCGCTTCACTCAAATGTTCAAAAAATCTGGTCGACTTCTTTACCATGTCAAAGCGATTGGTTGAGGCACCGATTAAGTGAGTGCTTGAAACTGTGGACTGTCTGCTGATGTAGGAATCCCTGAATGAAGAGTCACTGATGGAGTAGGAGTGGCATTCTTTTCGGGGAGCAGGAGACAGAAACCAAAGACAGGGAACTTTATCTGCCAGGGTCATCCTGTTGGGTGGAAGGTGGCGCAATGAGTATATTTTAAATGAGTTTTAAACATTCTCATATCTTAGAACTCATTTGAACACAACCTGGAACCTACCTGGAACACAACCTGGAAAAATGTAACCAGGTTCAAAATCACCAAAAGTCGTAAAACTACTCAGTGAACATGTATAAAGACACAATTATTGTGATCTTTTACCTGTATTTGTTGTGTATCATAGCATAGATGATGGGATTGTAGATGGTAGAGGCTTTTGCTATGACTGCAGGTACAGACTTGGAGTATGGGGACAAAATATTGGCGTAGCTGTTTGAAAAACGAAAAATAAAAACACATAAAAAAACTTTTGCTTCTTTTATTATTAGAAATTCTTGTCCAGTTGTTAATTTTCTTTGTTGCATGTCAACAACAGATGCTCATCACAAAGTTCTCTTTGTCTGTTTGCCTGTTTTGTGATATAAGGAGGGGTCAGGTTTGGTCAGGGATTAACTTGTACCATCTGCTACGGAGGGTTGGTTAAATCCATCTGGTTGTACTATTTGCTCATGTGATTTTATGCATGTGTATCTGTTTAAGTTTGCTTGCATGAAAGGTTATCTTCCCTTTTGACTGAGCAGAGAGAAGACGTGATTTATGTAACTACAATCAGAGTTCATGTAAACCCCAGGAGAGACATTATGTTAATGGTATATAGGTTTAGATAGGATGAATAAAAACAAGTTAAAAATCTATTTCTAGAATTACTTATTAAATGCAATTTTTGTTTACTTGCTGCCCAGTTTTATCTAAAATTTAAAGCAGACATTTCATGCCTTTAAATCCTTTTTCACATTTAAATCATTCAGTTGGAGTTTACATAAAGTGGAGCTGCAATGCTTTGATCTGAATTCCTACTTACTGTAACTCCACAATCCCCTCTTTCATCCCTCTTTTGAGGTGTGTCCCAGATCAACTTGTTTTGACGCTGTCTCTTCAAATACAATTAAGGCACTTCAYATTATGGTTAATTGTTTGTCCTAACTTTCTCTGTTTCAAACTCAATCTGTATCTGAAAGTCGGTCAGTACTGACAATAAATACACATTACAAAAGAAAAACAAAATCTATTTTCTATACAGTACATGAAAAAATCTTACCCAGCCCAGGAAATGAGCGTAACACAGGCATATGGTGACCAAGAGAGGACGTAAACGATGATGACAATAAAGGCGATCTTTGCCAGTTTCCACTCACTCCTGATAGACTTCTGTTGGATTAGAGTGCTTTTCCTCACTTTAGGCCCCAGATGTTCTAACTCCCTGAAGGAGGAACAAGGTGGAGAGAGTAATTACATAAAGAAGCCATAAAGAGCTAGATGCCAAAATTAAGTAGAAATTGCAATTTTATTTCAAAAGTGTACTTTGCATCAAATGTACATGCAAAAAACCCAATGATGAAAAGGTTACAGTACCTGCTAGTTTGTCTAATATACAAGAACATTTGTAGGTAGCAGAATAAGATAATTCCCAGGGGAATGAAGAAGACGAAGAAGCATAGCATCATTGTGTAGCTCCTGTTAGCTGCTGAGTATGTTACATAATCCCATGTGCAAGATGTCATCAGGCCCTCAGGGATATAGGAGCCTATGGGTAAAAGATCATCAAATATATGAGTGTTTGCAGAAAGCCATGTGTCAGCTCAAACATAGGTGGCATTGCAGTTGTAAAAACTGCTTCTAAAACATATATAAAGTAGACTTTTTAAATGTCATTTCTTGTTACTGCTAAATATCGACTGTCCTATTGACTCGTTATTTTAAGTTAAAAATACTTACTTATGAAACAGGACACCCCTTCAAGAAGTTAATATCACTAATTGCTGATTCCTTTTATGTTAATCAATGATTTTTTTCTTAATGTTGTTGCTATATCCATAGGTGTAATTTGCTGGGTGGTTAGGGGGATTATGACCGCCACAATAATTTGATCATGTCAAAATACCACCCCCCCCCCAACAAAAGTACATCATTTGATCAAACACAGTAGAAATTACCTGATGCAACTCTCTTATTGTCTTTAGGTAGCTTTAACGTAATTTTTATGTCATTTATGTATGTTTAAGCATAATTGCTAAAAATTATATGCAGGGTTTTAGAGCATAATGCCCCCCAATGATAGACCTAAAGCTACACCCTTGGTTATATTTCCAATGTAACCTCCTCAGCTGTTGTGATCTGAGTTGTATGGGCTGTTGGCAACGTTTCATAATGAACTACTGCCAAACAGAAAAAAAAAATTAAAAGCATGAGATAAAGATGTTTTTGGATTTTAACCAGGTTTCATATAYGGTACCCTCAGCCAGACACTAATGTTCTGAAGTTCAAATGCCAGCAAAAAGCATTTCCCGAGTCTATGCCAACTGTGAGATTATATAGCTTTAGCATTTCTCAAACTTCTTCATAAAGCAACTTGTGGCAGAATAGTTTTTTCATCATGGTGACAAATAATAACCAATATTAACATCTTGGTCTAAACAACACCAGTATTAAAACTGCATAATGACACTCTACAGCAGTGTTTTTCAACCCTGGTCCTCAAGGCACACCGTCCTGCATGTTTAAGAAGTGTTCCTGCTTCAACCTGATTCAGATGATTGCAGTTCAACAAAAGCCTGTTAATCAGTTATCAACTGAAAACAGCTGCGTTGAAGCAGGGAAACATCTAAAACATGCAGGATGGTGTGCCTTGAGGACCAGGGTTGAAAAACTGCTCTACAGTGAACATCAGCCTAAATTTTTGTCACATAAAAAATATGCATAAATGAATCACAAACACAAGCCCACAAGTCATTGCCATAAGTTTGAAGCATTTGCTAATTAACTTTCTAGTTATTTTTATTCATATTCTTCTCTGACATGATGATTTATTTATTTATTTATTTATTTATTTATTTATTTATTTATTTATTTATTTGTACTGACGTGACATAAGCACGTTAGGGGTAGGTTAACCAGTTAGGTTTTGTGGTAAAAGAGGATTTATGACAAAGGTGTTGCTAAAAGTAAATAAATTAAACTTGAYTTAATTAAACCCTTGAGTTTTTTATGGTATGAGGGCCAAAATTAAGACTTTTGCTCAGTCAGTGGTTGCTACATACTTGTAGCAGGAGGCTATGCCAATGCCTAAGCCAGCTATTGATCTGATTAATGATAGGCCGGCACCAGTAACTGAGCAGCTGGCCCTGGTAACTGAGAGACCAGCGCTGGCAAATGAGGAGACTGTTCATTTGCATTAACATTGGAGAGGCTAGCGACTAGCATGCCTGAGCTGTTCATGAGAAATTTCTATATTTGGCATTATAAATATTAATTCAATCCTAATACCCTGTCAAAAACTGTAAAAAGGCCCAACTTGATAGTTATAGCTTTTCTCATAATTCAGCTAAAGAGAAAAAAAATAAAACCACTGCCGTAGATAAGGGCAAATGCAGCTGCTAATTCAGGTGGTGACTAAATCTGTCTATTTTATCTATTCGTCCATACATCCATTATCTATACCCGCTTCTTCCTTTCAGGGTCACGGGGGTCACTGCCCATATCCAGCAGTTACTGTGCAAGGGGCGGGGTACACACAAGTCAACCCATTCTCACTCCCAACTCGTCAACATATTGACGCTTGGTCAGGTAGCCGTCTGCATCCAGCTTCGGACACGTCGAGTACCCCCATGTGTCAGTTCTTAACGAGATGAGGCGGAGGAGCGCGTTGTCACATTTTTTGAAAAGAGTAAGAAATGTGCGAAAGTAACCATCCCCCAAAATTTAACTTCTATTAGCCCTATACAGCCTATCCCTGACCTCAGTACCTAAAATCAACCATTAACCCTGATCCCTCGTATTAACCTTTTTGAAAATGTAGAGAATGCACGAGAACTAACCGTCCCAGACCCTAAATTTAACTTCTATTAGCCCTATTCAGCCTATCCCTGACCTCAGTACCTAAAATTAACCATTTACCCTGATCCCTCATATTAACCATTTTTGAAAACGTAGAGAATGCGCGAGAACTAACCGTCCCAGACCCTAAATTTAACTTCTATTAGCCCTATTCAGCCTATCCCTGACCTCAGTACCTAAAATTAACCATTTACCCTGATCCCTCATATTAACCATTTTTGAAAACGTAGAGAATGCGCGAGAACTAACCGTCCCAGACCCTAAATTTAACTTCTATTAGCCCTATTCAGCCTATCCCTGACCTCAGTACCTAAAATTAACCATTTACCCTGATCCCACATATTAACCTCTGACCCCCAACCCAAAGACCCCTAAGTGGCACAACCCGGAAAAGCCGTGGGCAGCAAGGACTGACTTGAGGGGGCACTCAACGCGGGGCCTCATCAACGCTAAATCAAATGAACAGTCKCCTTCTCATTTGCCAGTGCCTTCCTCTCAGTTACCAGGACCAGCTACTCAGTTATTGGTACCAGCCTATCATTAATCAGATCAATTGCTGGCTTAGGTATATACGTATATATATATAGCCTCCTGCTACAAGGATGTTGCAACCACTGGTTGCAAAAAATCTTAATTTTAGCCCTCGTATTGTGTCATAAGGAATCTCACAAGTACATGAGCATTTCAATTTTTTTTATGATTCATTGTTCCAGAAGAACTCACTCCAGCCAACAAGAGGAGCCAAACTCCAAGCCAAAGAATAAAGCCAGACAAGAAGGATGGCAAACATTGTCCTTCGTTTGGAGCTCCGGTGCATGGTCTGCAGGGGCCGGGTGATCACCAGGTATCGTTCGATCGAGATGGCCAATAGGTTTATCATGGATGAAATACCAAACAGGGCACCACAGAATGCATATATCTTACACCCTGCAAGACAGGAACACATAAAGAAAATACCCAACAAATGTTAGCAAACTTGATCTAAACACATTTTAGCATACTTGAAAGCAATGACAAGAATTACCCGTTGCTCCAAACATCCATTCCTTGTAGAGGCAATTGATAAAGAAGATTGGAGACTGGGTGAATGCCATGAGAAAGTCACTCACTGCCAAGTTCATAATGAAGTAATTGGGAAGTTTACGCAGCTTCTTATTGCTACACATGTCACATAACAAAAAAAGAGATTGATAGTGTTAAAGTAATGGATGTATTAAAAACAAACATTTACTGAGCCAAATTCTTAAATATCAAATATATAAGGTGCTACTTTCATTTGTTGAATTCTGATCTGAACCAAGAAACACTTAAAAGCTTTGTTTTCATTTCTGTACCAGATGTAGACAATCTGCTATCATCAAGTAATGAAAGGACCATTATGTAATGCAGATATTGTCAAATTAGACCATCGCTCTAATCAGGTCATTGCTCTAATCTGTGCACCTAAACACGAAGCACACTGAGCAGATAAGGTCGYGCTGATGGGACAGTGTGCATAATGTGTGTTAATGTATTCAAGAGATAATAAATTGGTGAGATACTGTTAGAACTGTTGATAACTTACAGTACGTCTTATTGATGAACCTTTTTTTCTCATTTAAAATACATCAAACAGAATATTCATTTGCAGTGTTGTTTTTAAAGCTTGTCCTCTTTTTAAACCTAGTTGTTCATCTTTATCCTCCTCCTTTTTATAATTCTTATACTGTAAGAGAATCAGACTAATGGCTAGCCAAAATTTCAATAGACATTGAATACCAGTAGGAGCAAGATCTGTATTATCAAATTTTGTTTGTTTTAGTTTGCCATTTAGATCATGATCAAGCCACATATTTCTGTGAAACCCAAATTTTGCCAGATTTGTTAAAGCTTATGCACAGTAGTTTTTAGTTTTTATCTGTAGTCTCTTTATTGATTAGGGGAAAGCTGTTGTGAATCTCAAATCAAACAAGAAGCTCTTTATTAATTAAAATAGTTTGTGAATCCTGACTGAAAGCAGATAATCTCCAAGTCAGACATTTTAGTCAGCTTACATTGTTTCCTGCTTCTGTGTTAATGTACTGCAGGTGTCTCTATATGAGAGAGAGTACACAACAAGAGTACTTTCTCTAAAGAAAATAACTGCAGTAAGCAACGTCAGAAAAAATACTCCATTATATTTGTTTGTTTGTAAAATATATTTACTGGAACCCATTTCACCTCATATTATCAGTTCTGTGAAGTCAAATCATCTGGACAACAAAAAGAGGGAAACCATCTAATCTGTCTTTGTTGATGGACGGATGGAACATGAAAGCTATTGGCAATCCCCACAACATGCAAACACACTCACACACATTGTCCCAGTTTCTGTAAAACATTGAACATCGGCAGCTCAAATGAGAGGCCAACGTTTCTCTCGACACACATAAAACACAAGCTTCCTGCAGGACTTTCAAATGAAAGTTTACTAGAGTGAAGTCAAGAGTGAGTTATTTTGGTGAAACATATAAAATATATATTTTAAAAGTATGTGTTTTAGATTCGACATCACCTGTTGCATATTTCTGCTGTTGGTAAGAATGAGTTGCATGGGTTGTTTGAGTTAAGTTTTAGATTGGTTTGAAAAAGAAGACACCTTTATTTTATTAAACTATTAGTCTTTTATGTAATTTATGTTTTATAGTGCTTTGCTGCAGTAGTTGAGAGCTACTTTTATTTATTTATTTATTTCATTTTGAAAGGAGATTWGGCAAATTTTCCCATTTAAACCTTATATTCTATGTTATTGTTTTATAGATGGTGATGAGTGTCTTTAGCCTTGAAGCTACAGCTTTGCAAAAAACATGTTTATTTTATAAAACTTATTTTATCATCCTTGTTATGATATAATGTGACAACATCTGAAGGTTTTCTTGTCATAAAATATAAAACACACACCAAACACATAAAGCAAAAAGACAGCCTTTTTCAACTCACCTGTAGAAAGCAAACATGACCAGGACATTCCCAGTGATGCCCAGCACTCCGATGACGAAGACGAACAGAGCAACAACATAGTGAACCTGGTCAGGCACATCCACCTTGCTGAAGAAGCTGCTCTGAGTGTGGGTTTTCTGGGGCTCCATGCTCTCAGTGGACTACATGATTCAAACACCTTGGCAGGATTTCAGGCTGGATGTCCTTTCAGTTTGTAATCCACTTCTTTTAGCCAGAGTTGAGCCTCTTGCATTGGAATAAGAGATGGAAAGTGTTTTGCACCGAATGATGTGGCGATGATACCAAACTGATGATGAAATATAAGGATGAAAGATGATGCTCAGATGCTCCCCCTGATCGCCCACCTTGTAGTTCTCAGGTAATATTTGTTGAGTTGAAACGATGACATCCTCCAGAACATTAAATCCCCCACATGTTCCACTCTGTCACTGCCTGTCAGTCCACTCGGAGGTCGCCTGCATCCTCTTCACACTCAATACCAGCTGTGCTCTGAATCAGCGAGCTGTCGTTGGTCATCTCGTGAAACTCCTAACTCCTAACCATCATCTTTCTCATTCCGCGCCTCTCTCTCTCTCTCTCTCTCTCTCTCTCTCTCTCTCTCTCTCTCTCTCTCTCTCTCTCTCTCTCTTTTGTCCATGAGGATGCTAGAAGATAAATTTAGCCCTCCAGCTCTCCTTCCATCTGCTACCACATGGTTTAGGGCTGTTACCATAGGAACCACCGCTGGGTGCCTGTTACAGTGAGAAGAGGAAAATTGTCGAGGTTTTTTTTAAAAAGCTTTTTTATACAGTTTGTTCTCTTTTTATGTTTAAATTTCTATTAGATTGTTGTGTTTTTATAGATGATTTTTCATGCCAGCTCTCTGTTTCCTGTTCAGCTGTGAGTGATGGTTACACAGAGTGTACAGTTATACTCACTGACAWAATGACTGTGGTACCTATGGTTTCATGTTTTGGCAAATCCAAGCATTCTGCTTGTGCTTATACAGCTAAAATATTACAGATGCTCAGGTCATCGCTGTAGCAAATGTTTTATGCAATTTTTAATGTTTTGTTAAAGGGATCCCCGATTAGTTGTAACATTAGACTTTATTTGATAAACAGAATTTAACTGTAAAATAAAGACTGTAAAAATGCTGTAGGCTGTTTAGTTTTGTAAATTTTTAAAAATATATTTTAACACGGACGGGGCCATTTTATTTCCACACAAAGCATTCTGGGTAAATGATGACGTGGATAGGTCCTCGGAGCGAGGCTGCTAGCGAGCTATATCCACCCTGAAGGNGCATCGGTCTGTCTCCCACCCCCACATCCCATGCTCCAGCCCTGAGCTCCTCTAACCCTTTAACTACCACATTCTTACATAACTGACATGTTTGCAACAAGTATCAACATAAGCTCAGCAATTCATCTGACAATTTAAACCCCACATGGATACAGTGTCAAATGTAACTCTCCTAAGTAGATTCATGCAAATTATCACGGTCTCTTACATGACTATCAGACACAAATGTATACTCAACTGGGAATAGTGAGATGTGACTTTTGGTTTCTGTAACTTTTGTGACCTTTTGTGTACTTTTTAAAATATTTAACTTGTTTTTTTAAGAAATCTATATAAAATACAGTATGTATTCAAACCTTTCAAAGCCCCTATCTGATTTGCTCTTTTGTTGTCTTCTTATTTTATGTGCTCTTTTACTTATTATAGCTGTTAGCTACAGCTTTTCTCATTTTAGTTTTTAGCTATGGCTGTGTTCATCTTAGTCACAGCTTGCTAACATTGTATTTTAGTGTTTAGCTACAATATTGTTGATTTTAAATTTGAGCTACTTTCTGTTCTGTTTGTTTTAGGCTTTTTAAATTTTTAGCATCTGTTTTACTTATTTTAGCTTGTACGAATATCCATTATTGTTTTGTCTTATATTTCTCATTGTGCATGTAAATTCAGTGACTGACAGGTGAACTGCCCATCAACAAAATTTTAAGCTCAACATTTTTTCATTAGAACTGAGAAAAGCTCATAAAATGGAACTGGAACAACTTTTTTCAACTGCTTTTTTAAACTTTGATTATCATATCTTACATGACTGAGAACCCACACCAGCCTTTCTCTCTGGAATAATTACAGGCAACACATGAGGAAGTTGATCTAAGCTGTTATTCTTCCAACTGTCAGCAGGACAGGGGTCAGAAGAGCCCATGGGCTGGTCGTTGCTTTTTATGGTGCTGGACATGTTTTTTTGGTGGGGGCCCCCGGGGGGTGGGCTAGAGATGAGGGAAGCAAAGAATGCAGACCTTAGACAGCGATGTCAACTAAGCCCCTAAAGCAAAGAACAACTTTAATCTAAACAGAGTGCATGCATGTAGATGAATGWTTGATCTATAGGGAATGACAATTTATTTATATGATAATCAAATGAGTGTGCATGTGTTCACACCAAATGAGTTCTGTGTATACATGAGCACTAGCGGGTAAAATAAATATTGAACACGTCACCATTTTTCTCAGTAAATATATTACTAGAGGTGCTAATGACATGAAATTTTCACCAGATGTCGATAACAACCCAAGTGATCCATACATACAAAGAAATCAAACCATAAATGTCCAGAAATGAAGTTATTTGTAATAATGTGGAATGGCACAGGGAAAAAGTATTGAACACGCTTACTGAAATTGATCTAATACTTTGTACAAAAGGCTTTGTTGTCAATGACAGCTTCAAGACGCCTCCTGTATGGAGAAACTAGTGGCATGCATTGCTCAGGTGTGATTATGGCCCATTCTTTCGTGGACCTCTTCTATGAACCCTGATCTTTAGTTCTTTCCATAGATTTTCTGTTGGATTCAGGTCAGGTGATTGGCTGGGCCATTCCAGCAGCTTTAGTTTCTTTCTCTGAAACCAACTGAGAGTTTCCTTGGCTTTGTGTTTGGGCTCATTGTCTTGCTGAAATGTCCAGCCACGTTTCATCTTCATCATCCTGGTAGATGGAAGCAGATTTTTATCAAGAATGTCTCTGTACATTTTTCCACTCATCCTTCCTTCAGTTATTTGAAGTTTGCCAGTACCATATGCTGAAAAACAGCCCCACACCATGATGTTCCCACCTCCAAACTTCACTGTTGGTATGGTGTTTTTGGRCTGATGTGCAGTGCCATTTGACCTCCAAACATGATGTGTATTCTGTCATCCAAACAGTTCATTGTTGGTCTCATCTGACCAGACTATATTCTCCCAGTATTTCACAGGCTTGTCTAAATGTTGTGCAGCAAACTTTAAAGGAGCTTCAACATGCTGTTTCTTCAGCAGTGGAGTCTTGCGTGGTGAGCGTGCATACAGGCCATGGTGGTTCAGTGCATTACTTATTGTTTTCTTTGAAACAATCGTACCTGCTAATTCCAGGTCTTTCTGAAGCTCTCCACAAGTGGTCCTTGGCTCTTGGACAACTCTTCTGATAATTCTTTTCACTCCTCTGTCAGAAATCTTGTGAGGAGCACCTGGTCGTGGTCGGTTTATGGTGAAATAATGTTCTTTCCACTTCTGAATTATGGCCCCAACAGTGCTCACTGGAACCTTCAGAAGTTTAGACATTCTTCTGTAACCGATGCCATCATTATGCTTTGCAACAATAAGGTTGTGAAGGTCTTGAGAGAGCTCTTTACTTTTACCCATCATCAGATGGTTCTTGTGTGATACCTGGCCATCATTTGGGACTGAACCAGCTGATATTAACTTGCACTGACAAGGGGCAGACTTGCTTTCTRATTACTGAGAGAGTTCAGCTGGTGTCTTGGCTTTCCATGCCTTTTTACACCTCCCTTTCTTCATGTGTTCAATACTTTTTCCCTGTGCCATTCCWCATTATTACAAATAACTTCATTTCTGGACATTTATGGTTTGATTTCTTTGTATGTATGGATCACTTGGGTTGTTACCGACAACTGGTGGAACTTTCATGTCATTAGCACCTCTAGTAATATATTTACTGAGAAAAATGGTGATGTGTTCAACACTTTATTTACCCGCTGTATTATAAAGTTCATAATTTTTTAAGGGTCACTTGTGTAGACCCAGTCACAGATACCATGTTTACATTTATGGGCATAGATGAGAAATATGTTTTGCCCCTCATATGGCAAGATTTACGCAAWTTTACTGGATTCTTTTTCTCTCTCTCTCTTTCTGGCCAGAAAAAACACAATCTGTCAAAATAATCAATATCTTCCATCCACCCATCCATTATCCATACCTGTTTCTTCCTTTCAGGGTCATGGGGTTCTAGTGCCCATATGTAGCAATCACTGTGTGAGGGGTGGGTTACATACAGGTTGCAAGTCTGTTACAGGGTTAGTCAACGTCTTGTTTAAAACCTTAGTTAAAAGGTCACCTGTCGTTATAGTTTCAAACTGTGATCTATTTATGCTGAGAAAAGCAATTTTGGTTAAACTTTGAAGACAATATCATTGTGTTATCTCATAACAATCTGCTAGCACTCGAAGCATGTATGAAAACGACTTACCTGGAGCCATGAGAAATTGTAGTTCAGGATCTGTAAAGTTGTGTTTTCTAAGGCCAATAGACTGTGGTCACCATTTAAAATTTGTTTGACTTCTAATTATGGTCAGTTGTTGACGCACAAAAAACATTGCAGCACAATAGTATTTTTAAATGTTGAAGTGACAGAAAATGTTCCTTCCAATGATACTTTCTGTCTTTTGACATTCCCAGGTGAAAAAATATTATACTAAGTATACTAAATCTAAGTATACTTTAGTATACTTGAAGCCGCATTAATCATTAGTATACTTAAAGAGCCATTTTGGAACAACTAATTTAATACTAAATA